TGTGTGTGTTGCTTGTGTTGCTAGCAGGCTGTGTGTGTTGCTTGTGTTGCTAGCAGACTGTGTGTGTTGCTTGTGTTGCTAGCAGACTGTGTGTGTTGCTTGTGTTGCTAGCAGACTGTGTGTGTGTTGCTTGTGTTGCTAGCAGGCTGTGTGTGTTGCTTGTGTTGCTAGCAGACTGTGTGTGTTGCTTGTGTTGCTAGCAGGTTGTGTGTGTTGCTTGTGTTGCTAGCAGACTGCGTGTGTGTTGCTTGTGTTGCTAGCAGACTGTGTGTGTGTTGCCTGTGTTGCTAGCAGACTGTGTGTGTGTTGCTAGCAGACTGTGTGTATGTTGCCTGTGTTGCTAGCAGACTGTGTGTGTGTTGCTTGTGTTGCTAGCAGACTGTGTGTGTGTTGCTTGGTTGCTAGCAGACTGTGTGTGTTGCTTGTGTTGCTAGCAGACTGTGTGTGTTGCTTGTGTTGCTAGCAGACTGTGTATTGCTTGTGTTGCTAGCAGACTGTGTGTGTGTTGCTTGTGTTGCTAGCAGACTGTGTGTGTTGCTTGTGTTGCTAGCAGACTGTGTGTGTGTTGCTTGTGTTGCTAGCAGACTGTGTGTGTGTTGCTAGCAGACTATGTGTGTTGCTTGTGTTGCTAGCAGACTGTGTGTGTTGCTTGTGTTGGTAGCAGACTTTGTGTGTGTTGCTTGTGTTGCTAGCAGACTGTGTGTGTGTTGCTTGTGTTGCTAGCAGACTCTGTGTGTTGCTTGTGTTGCTTGCGTTGCTAGCATACTGTGTGTGTTGCTTGTGTTGCTAGCAGACTGTGTGTGTGTGTTGCTTGTGTTGCTAGCAGAATGTGTGTGTTGCTTGTGTTTCTAGCAGACTGTGTGTTGCTTGTGTTGCTAGCAGGCTGTGTGTGTTGCATGTGTTTCTAGCAGACTGTGTGTGTTGCTTGTGTTGCTAGCAGACTGTGTGTGTGTTGCTTGTGCTGCTAGCAGACTGTGTGTGTTGCTTGTGTTGCTAGCAGACTGTGTGTGTGTGTTGCTTGTGTTGCTAGCAGAATGTGTGTGTTGCTTGTGTTTCTAGCAGACTGTGTGTTGCTTGTGTTGCTAGCAGGCTGTGTGTGTTGCATGTGTTTCTAGCAGACTGTGTGTGTTGCTTGTTTTGCTAGCAGACTGTGTGTGTGTGTGTTGCTTGTGTTGCTAGCAGACTGTGTGTGTTGCTTGTGTTGCTAGCAGACTGTGTGTGTGTGTTGCTTGTGTTGCTAGCAGAATGTGTGTGTTGCTTGTGTTTCTAGCAGACTGTGTGTTGCTTGTGTTTGCTAGCAGGCTGTGTGTGTGCATGTGTTTCTAGCAGACTGTGTGTGTTGCTTGTTTTGCTAGCAGACTGTGTGTGTGTTGCTTGTGTTGCTAGCAGACTGTGTGTGTTGCTTGTGTTGCTAGCAGACTGTGTGTGTGTTGCTTGTGTTGCTAGCAGACTGTGTGTGTTGCTTGTGTTGCTAGCAGACTGTGTGTGTGTGTTGCTTGTGTTGCTAGCAGAATGTGTGTGTTGCTTGTGTTTCTAGCAGACTGTGTGTTGCTTGTGTTGCTAGCAGGCTGTGTGTGTTGCATGTGTTTCTAGCAGACTGTGTGTGTTGCTTGTTTTGCTAGCAGACTGTGTGTTTGTGTTGCTTGTGTTGCTAGCAGACTGTGTGTGTGTTGCTTGTGTTGCTAGCAGACTGTGTGTGTTGCTTGTGTTGCTAGCAGACTGTGTGTGTTGCTTGTGCTGCTAGCAGACTGTGTGCGTTGCTTGTGTTGCTAGTTTCGTAGGGGTTCTTAAATGGAGATATCGAGGGTTGAAGGTAGAAACACTTTTTGGATGGTAACATATATTGTCAGACTGTGATGATGGGAAATGGAGCCCAGCCTCTGCCTGTCCTAGCCTGGATGTCTAACGCCGACTGAGGCCTAGGCAGAGGTACGAACGTACACATGCGCATCCCATGACGTCACACAAAGTCACAGGCCTAAAAGGGATCTCCTATCTAAAGCACATGGATGATACTCTATGCTATGCTATATAACACAGGGATCAGCAACTATGCTGACAGCTCGGTCATGTTACGTATGTCGTCTCGACATACACTACTATCTATAGGCTGAACAGGCAGGTGGTTCTGGGCTGATTCTATACAATAACAAATTCATATATATATAACTTAGAACTAATGGATGGTAAGATAAGATAAGATAAGATTTCGTTCGGATTTTTAACCCCGGAGGGTTAGCCACCCAGGATAACCCAAGAAAGTCAGTGCGTCATCGAGGACTGTCTAACTTATTTCCATTGGGGTCCTTAATCTTGTCCCCCAGGATGCAACCCACACCAGTCGACTAACACCCAGGTACCTATTTGCTGCTAGGTGAACAGGACAATAGGTGTAAGGAAACGTGTCGGAATTTCCACCCGCCGGGAATCGAACCCGGGCCCTCCGTGTGTGAAGCGGGTATCATAATGGATGTTAACAAAATGAGTTTAAACGTAATGGTTTTTAACGTAATGCATTACAAACTATAAGAACAAATCATTGTACAATATGGATGGAATTGATCGATCGATCTGTATTCATGCACTCTACGGATTCTGAGGAAGAATAAATATATATATACAAGGTGAACTTAACAGCAAAGGCATCTGGTGCGCACTCCGATCATTACTGTCAAATTCTCAGAATACTGAGGGAACGTGAATACGAAAAAAAAATTTCTGAAAAAATTAATCAGTTAATAACAAACAGTTGACAATTTACTTCATCTGGGACATCTAGTTATACAGACTATGTACATTTAAACCCAATTCTGCGAGGGTGAGGTTTACATATGCAGAATGGTTATCATCTCTGGGAGGATCGAATTCCTCTGCAATGGCTAACACATGCCTTGACTGAGGGAGATCTGAACGAGTATCTACAAAAGATACTTGTGGGTTTCTCATTACTTGTCGAGTACGCAAGGAGTAACGACATTCAGGTTGGTTATCTGACTGAGTATCTGAGGTAGAGAGTACTGAGTCAAGAGGATTTTCAGCATCTGTCACATTAGTCTGGGTAGCAATATCATCAACATCGCATACTAATTTTATATGATCTAAATGCGATTCTTTGTACTTACCAGTACTAATTTCTCTAACCTTATACTTATTGCCAGAGATATGTTCTACAACTCGATAAGGTCCGACAAACTTTTGATCGAGCTTAGGCATTTCGGATGTTTTGTTGAAATTTGTCAGCATTACTCTTGAACCTACTTTGACTTTTGATGGCTTAGCATGGCTATTAGTTACTCTAGTAAATTCTGCTGTTGATTTATGAAGTGTTTCACGGATTCTTCTAAAAACACTTTGAGCTATGCTGGTACGAGTTGCTACGAAATCATCAGGGTTGTAATTAGGTTTCGGAGTGGAATATAACAACTCATAGGGTAAACGCTTGTCTACACCATACAATGCATAATGTGAGTTCACCTATGGAAGCATTGTAAGCAGAATTTATGGCACATTGGACATCTGGTATGACTTCATCCCAAGTTTCACTATTGGGGTTGATAGTGGCTCTCAGGACATCAAGTACTTTCATATTGGTTCTTTCGACTAACCCATTGCTGGCAGGATGATGAGGAACAATGGCGGATTTAGAGATCTTGTATAAAGTACACAAATTTTCAAGAATCTCATTACAGAATTCACCTCCATTATCTGTTACTAAGGACTTAGGGGTGGCATGCCTGCAGATAATGCGTTCTTTAAACGCTTTAGCTACTGTCTGCAGTCTTATCCGCAATAGGAACTAACTCACAATATCTGGTGAAATGGTCTACCATAACACACAGATGTTTGTTGCCTTGGAGGGAACATTTAAAATTGGTTAACAAGTCAAGGGCAACTCTTTCCCATGGTTCGCTAGTGGTTGGGTACACTTGGATTGGATTAGGACCATTGACATTTCCTTTATGCTGCATACAGACACTACATTTCTTAACATACTCGAAAATTTCGGTTGCCATACGTATTTCATTCTGGCTTGTTTCACAGAACGATCCATACCAGGGTGTGCAACACCTGGTGCATCATGAACTAGCTGCAGAGCTACGTTCACTAGTGACTGTGGAATTACTAACTGGTACACTCTTCTACTTGGAGTACCCAACTCGGCTGTTTGATACAGTAATTCCTGGCTCATTACAAAGTCCACTGATGGTGCTGGTGGGCTATTCACATCAGAATAAGATCTCCTGGAGCAGGAATCGAATACACACCAACCACATATGATCTGTTCTTTGGGCATTTTTGACATCCTCGACAGTAAATGGAGTATCGCAGTAACTACACTAACGTGTCGCCGATAAAGCATCTGCGACTACATTTGGGACTTGCGCAGGTAAATGTTCAAAGGTGGGGATTGAACTCTTTGGATAGTCCAAGGTTCCATCTGGCCTAACCTTCCTGAGGTTTTTGTTTTCTGGAATAAAAGGTATTAGTGGGAGCACTGGTCTGTCAAGACATGAACAGAGTACTGATAAATAATGCTCGGAAGTGCTTTAAGGACCATACTATTGCTAAGCTTCTTGCTCAGTTACGTATAATTACATTCAGCCCTCATAAGGACTCGGCTCGCAAATGCAACTTGCGTTGTACTGCCATCAGTCTTCTGAGCTAGTACGGCACCTATGCCTATAGAACTAGCACAGTTGTCAGATAGAAGGGCTTAGAAAAATCTGGGAATTTCAAAATTGGAGGGCAGATGTTAACTTTTCTTTAGAGTTTGGAATCTCTTTCCTGACGAGATCCAAACGATAAGGAGCAATCTTCTTAAGCGAATTCAGTTTAGCGGAGCCTGCCTATTGAAAAAAATTTTGCAATAAAGACCTGTAGAAACCTACTAAGACCCACAAAGGACTTTGGACATCAGCAGTGTTTGGGAGTTTGGAAAATTTAGGTACTGGCAGTTACTTTACTTTGGCGTCAGTCGTAACCCCTCTAGGATGACATACGTGACCCAGAAAGATAATTTCTGATGTGAAAAATTGACATTTTGACAGTTTGATTCTTTAATTGGCTTCTTCAGCTTGCCAAGTACTATATCAAGTCTTTTCAGATGTGTATCCACAATCTTCGGACATGAAGACGAATACATCATCTATTACAACCATAAGTGCTTTAACCTATAAGACCTCTAAAAGATATTGGTCATGAGTCTAGAGAACGTGAAGGAGAGGAAACAAATGCCAAAAGCCATTCGTAGGAAATGATAATGACCTGTGGGGAGTGGAGAATGAGTTAACTCTTGGCTGTCCTCGTGAAGATGGACTTGCAAATCCCTTGTTAACAAATCAGGGTCGAGAAGAATTGTTATCTCCGATATTACGTAAAAGAGGTCACCTAGTAACAGGAAGTGGGAAGCGATCTGGAATGGTTTTTCCGCATTTTAACTTCCTAAAGTCCCATTCAACCGGCGCCAAGTGCCGTCCTTCTTAGGCACTAGATCAAGTGTGCATTCCAGGGTGAATTGCTATGTGCAATAACTCATCAACTGAACATCTGATTGTCAATTCCTCTGCGACAGCAAACTTGGAAATGAGCATTCTGTACGGCAGGTATATAGATAGGTCTAGTACCAGGTTCAAGTGGAATACGATGGGACAATAAGTTCGTTATACCCATCTTCTCACCTGGTAAGGCAATGGCGTTACGACGTTTGTTCAACAGCGTCAACAAGCGCTGGACTTCATCTGGGAAATCAGTGGGAGCTAAGTCTTTCTCCTCAACTGGTGGGATGGATTGATCCAGTGGAGTGGATGAGGTCTCCACTGTTGAAACAGCACTGACCCACTGGTCAGGTGGCACGTCATCCTGTACTTGAACAGGGTAAGGATAGTGAACTAGGTCAACGAGGTTGGTATTTGCTCTGAGACGAACACTGTGACCCGAAGTGTTAGCAAGGAGTAAATGGATCTTACTGTCTCTTACAACGTGTAAGGAAGGTTCAACGAATAAACCCTTGACCTTGCATGAATCACTGTCAACTAGGACGTTATCACCATCTGGAACATTAGGAACAACAACAGACACTCTAGTGAGAGCACTAGCCGCAACAGAGACGTCTTTCTGCAGACGGCATGTGACATCAATAAGAGATGGCATTACTAGTTTCAAGTAATCGTTTTCCGACAAGGCGTCCCCTTAGGAGAAACTACTACTTGTACTAGCAGACATTGCAGGGATAGGCAGAACACTCAAAGCAGTCTGAGCATCCTCGGACACTTGAGGCAATACACTATCTTGCATATCTGAAGGTGTAGGTGGAACACAGATGGGAGTGACAGAGTTACCAGTGCCTGACCACTTGGATACGCTACTGGAGAATGCATTGGCTTGTAAGGACTTAATGCGTACATCATACTCTGCAGCAGCATGACAGATTTCTGATCCAAGCTGGTAACCCCAGAATGGAACGATCAAGTCGTCAATTTGGGCATGCCATTGGTACGGGTCGAGCACAATGCGTAAGTCTCGCATGGAAGCAAATCCCAGTAGAAGGTCACCAGGGAAAGTAATCTGGTCGACAACAAGGAAAACAGCAGTAAAGTCTCTTCCTTGGATAGTAAAGGTGAGCAAAGTCTGACCTCGGACTCGCAGAAGGGAACCAGCTACTCCACTAAGGGAGGTTACAGTAGTTGGTTCAACGAGGAGGACACGTCGTAACTGCTTCTCTTTAAACAAGCTAGACCTGATGATATTAACTTGCGCACCAGAGTCCATGAACCCATGAACGGGCGCATTATGGACAGAAGCTTGTACTAAAGGACCAATCGTTTTGTTAGGAGTTATATGCAAACAGAAAGGTGGGTTGTCATCGGAGAAGGCATTTTCTACTTCATCCCCAAATTCCTCTATGTCGAGACGTGTGAAGCAACATCAACGGCGGGGTTGTTTTTCTCAAGGCGGGCTAAGAAAGGGAATTTTGGACTGGATGGTGTACTCTTTTTCACCTACTACTGTCACGACTGGACGAGTAACTTGGGTGCTCGGATTCCCCCGAATTGGAAGAAGAGCCTGGTTCTGGTTTGTTTTGTAACCACGACGTTGTTTCCTCTCCGGTCTCGGTTGGAAACGGCCACGGAAAGATCTAGAGTACTGCAGGTTTTAAGAGCATTGCACCAGATGTGCATGTCCATGAATTCTATGATAAGTACAGTAGGGGAAAATCTACTGGGGTCATCATAGTACAGCTTCATAGGGTGACTATCATGACAATTAATAGCAATAGTCCAAGGTAACCAAATTGTGCAAATTCTTTGACTGTGGATACTGTACAACTACGGGGGCTTCGGGAATGATGGCTCTTAACATTTTCTTTGGATGATGGGCACGGGTTAAGGGTTGGGGGTTTTGGTAATAAAAACAAACTAGAGGGGGGACGGAGTAGACAAAGTGGTTGGCAAGATTTCGATAAGGAAGGGGTTTCCCCGGGGCCAAATTTTGTACATGTTAGAGCTGCAAGCGGTCCCATATAGATCTAGCGGACTTGAATTTTACACTACCTAAGTCGGTGGGGATTATTTTTAATAACTTTTAATGCGGGGTAATTTGGCAAACCCATCAGGCTGGTTTTTCGTTATCTTTAAGGTACTTTAATTTTTACCTGCTTTAACGAATGAGGACATTAGGTTATTAAACGAAGACAAACTCATCTTATACTCTTCTGGTCTCGAGCTGTGCAAACTAATTCTTTGAAAACAAAAAACGATCGGTTTCTCGCCCCGGGTTAAAGAAAAATTACAAATTTAACTGTTCAAAATCTTCCCACCGGTTAGATTTTGGGAAGTCCTTATACAATTTAAAGTTAAAAACATGTAGGCGCTGGAGAAGGGGCTAGACTCTCCTTTCCGATCTATTAAAAACTCTCAGAGGAAACCATTACTGGGCATTAGCTCGGGCCTAACTGCGGTAAACCAACCTTAAAGGGTTTGTCTGGGTTATCATTAAACAATGGCTAGCATCTAGGGATATGACTAAAATTAACGGGCTAAAGTCTGATAGTCTATCGTTTTGAAAAGGATTTACTCGAATTTTGGGTGACCATTAAGGTTGACTAGCACAGTGCGAGGCATCGTTTTGAGAAACTTTTAACAGTTTGAAAAAATGTAAAACAAGAATTTAGAAAACAAAAAAAACATAGCTGGGGAATACACAACCAGTGAACAAAAAGGGGGGGAAAAAAAAATGCTTAACGATTCGCAAAGAATTTAAAAAAATTTGACGGGTCACATAGAAGTAAAGAAACCACAAAAGAAAAATATTCAATTAAAAAACAACACTTTAAAAATTTAAAGAGAATTTGTACTTTCTCACTTTAATTTGCTAAACTTTTATTTTTAAATTGAAAAATGGCAGAGTATTTGTCTTTACTTCACGCAATAGGGAAACCACAATAAAATGAAAAAAGGGGACTCAATAAAATTTGTCAAAAAAAAACAAACTGGGACACAATTCCTGGAAAAAAAAAAATGGCACAGACAAATAAAATATTATTACAAAACAAGCATAAGAAACAAAACTGAAATAAACTGTAGCAATATTGCAAAAAAACAATTTTAAAAAAAGTTTTTGCACAACACTCATAAAACTCTGCAAGAAAAACTTTAAGGGAAACAAAATATTTTACAAGAATTAATGCAAAATGAGTCAATTGCCATAAAAAATTATTACACAACAAGGAAAGAAATATATCAGGAATGAATGAGTGAACATTTTTAATCTTAACTGCACCAAGCAACCTTAACTCCCACTCAAGCAACACTTAACTGCCTCAAGAAACACTAACGCATCAAGCAACACTTACTGCACCAAGCAACATTTAACTGCACTAAAGCAAACTTAACTGCACTAAAGAAACAATTAACTGCACTCAAAACATTAACGCACTAAAGCAACACTTAACGCACTCAAGCAACACTTAACTGCACTAAGCAACACTTAATCACTCAAGCAACACTTAATGCCCCAAAAGCAACACTTAACTGCCTCAAGCAAACTTAATTTGCACTCAACAATATTTAACTGCACTCAAGAAAACACTTAACTCACTAAACAACACTTAACGCACCCAAGCACACTTAACTGCATCAAGCAACATTAACTGACTCAAAAACATTTAAAACTGCCCCAAAGCAACACTTAACTGCACTCAAGCAACACTTATGCACCAAGAAAACTCTTAACTGCACTCAAGAAATTTAACCACTAAGAAACACTTAACGCACTCAACAACTCTTAACTGCCCAAGCAACACTTAACGCACTCAAGAAACACTAACTGCCCCAAAGAAACACTAACTGCATCAAGAAACTCTTAACGCACTAAGCAACAATAACTGCACTAAAGAACACTTAATTGCACCAAGAAAACACTTAACTGCACTCAAGCAACATTTAACTGCACCAAAAGCAACATTAAAACGCACTCAAGCAACACTTAAATCACTCAACCAATATTTTAAACTGACTCAAGCAACACTTAACTGCACTCAAGCAACACTTAACTGCACCAAGCAACATTTTAATGCACTAAGCAAACTTAACTGCCTCAAGCAACACTTAACTGCCTCAAGCAACCTTAAACTGCACTCAAGCAACACTTAACGCCCAAGCAACTTTTAAAACGCACTAAAGCAACATTTTAACGCATAAAAGCAAACTTAAGCACAAAAAGAACTCTTAACTCCCAAGCAACACTTAACGCACTCAAGCAACATTTAAACTGCACTCAAGCAACATTTAAAAACTGCACTCAAGCAACACTTAACTGCATCAAGCAACACTTAACTGCACTCAAGCAACACTTAACTGCACTCAACAACCAACTGCACTAAAAGCAACCTTAACTGAAAATCAAGCAACACTTAACTGCACTCAAGCAACACTAACTGCACCAAGCAACATTTACAGTGATGCAAAACACAACACTTCATGATGCAAAACCAACACAAAAGTGATGAAAAACACAACACTTTACGTGATGCAGAACACAACACTTACAGTGATGCAGAACACAACACTTACAGTGATCAGAACACAACACTTACAGTGATGCAAACCAAACTTACAGTGATGCAAAACACAACATTAATTTGCAAAA